CCCCCGGGGAGGGAAGGGCGCGGGGCCGGCTCGTCCTGCCGTCTTTCGCGCTTTCCGAATGGAGACGAGACGCGCCGCAGCCCGGATCCCTCGTGCCGGACGCGCGAGGCGGCCGGCGGAGGTCCCTCGGCGGGGTGGCGCTCTGCACGTGCTCAGAGGCTCTCCCCTTCCACGGGGCGGAGCCCCCCAGCCCAGGAGAGGCTCTTGGGCCCTCCGGATCATGGAGGGGCTGGGGCCCCGGAAGGCGCCCCCTTGCATATCTGCTGCGCCAAACGGGAACAGCTGGACTGGAGGGGCCTCCCGCAGCTTTCAGGCACGCAGGCAGGAAGTCGCCTCGTGGAGAAGGTCTGCGGAGGGAGCCTCCCAAGAGCCGCGTTTGGTGCTTTAGGGTCCCCCCCCCCCTCTCCCAAGACTGGGAGGGCGCCTGCAGTCTCCAGCCAGCCCCCCTTCCCCCAGGCTTCCCGCCTCCCTGGGCACAAGAGAAGGCAGAGGCAGCAGCCCTGCGAAAGGGAAGGGTTTGCCCGGGCTCCATGTTCCCCGGGTGACACGTTCAAGGAGGGTGGGGCCTGCCTGCCACCGACACAACAGAGGAAGCGGCTGGAAAAGTTGAGCAACAGCGGTGGCTCTTTATCAGCCTCCTGGGAGCATTTCAGTCGCAGGGTGGGACCAGATTTGTACATTTACAGTGTTGACTGTTACCAAAGCACTGCGGGAGGGGAGGGGAGGGGTGTTCAGGCAGTTGCCTGTCGCCGGGCAGTGAAGCAATACACTCTGGGTGGGTGTTTCCTTCCAAAAAGGAACTTCTAGAGCAGGAGCAGTTTCTCGAGGCTGACCACTGAAGCCCGTCCTCGTCTTGATGAACTGTGGTGATGATGAGCTCTGCTCCGGCAGAGGGCAGGGGGCTGGACTAGATGACCTGTAAGGTCCCGTCCAACTCTAGCCTTCCGTGATGCTATGATCACTCCGTGCCTTTGCGGTCATTTTCCCACACTGCCGTGACACTTTTGTATGGGTGACAGAGGAGGATTCTTCTGAGTAAATGTGTAATGATGGTATTTTATTAATATTCAAATAAATGAGAGTCTGGAATGTTTTAGGTTTTATAGAATGCCCTACTTTTAACTTGTGAGGTTTATGTGGTTCTTGGCCCCAAAGGAATGGCTCGAGCCAGTCTTTGGCGTGGGGCTGGCTGGGTGAGAGCAGCATACTAATTCCTTTTGGAAACAGAGGTCAGTAAGAAGGCTGTCAGATAGTGATTGATAGGATGAAAGAGGATGAGTGTTCAGACAGGACAGCTCTTGAAGTGGCAAAGAATCCAACCACATACGAGTACCAAATGGGGCTGGACACACCGGTGTTGCATGCATACAGAAGCAACTGCATGTGCAGACGTGGGGAAATGCAGGTGTTTTCAGCAACATGGAGATGTGATCTGGATGCCTGCAAAACAAAGGACTGAGGCTGGGAAACGGTTTATGTAGAGTTGCTTGGAGCTGCCTGAGCGACAGCAGTGTCCTTGATTTTATTGGGTGGAAAAGGGCATGGAGCTTCTGGGAATTGTTACTGAAGGCGAGATGTCGGGAGAGTGGGATTGGCAGCATCTTGGGTCAGGGAAATGGCTACAGTCTTTACAGCAGTTCAGTGAATTCAGAAGGTTCTAACCTTTGATCTCTTCCCCAGATTTCTGAATAATTTTACCCTACTAGAAATAGCCAAATGCCAGAGAGGGTAGTAGCCATGCTAGTCTGCTGCTGCAGCCAAAACAGCTTCAAGCAAACACGTCCCGGGTCTGTGTGAGGAGAGGGCTGAGGTCCTGGCTTGTACACTAAAGCTCTTCCTCTGTGTCTCCCCAGTCATGTCATTCCGGAAGGTCGTGCGCCAGAGCAAGTTCCGCCACGTCTTTGGGCAGCCGGTCAAGAACGACCAGTGCTACGATGACATCCGGGTATCGCGGGTCACCTGGGATAGCACCTTCTGTGCTGTCAACCCCAAGTTTGTGGCCGTGATTGTGGAGGCCAGTGGGGGAGGAGCATTCATGGTGCTCCCACTACACAAGGTGAGAAAAGGGCTAGAATTGTAGTTTGGGGAAAGATACGTATGGAATTGATAGATCACGTACCCCCCCCCCCCTTTGCAGTACCGAGAATCCCGGAACTCTCATTAAACTGTGTTTTTCTCTTGGCCTCCTCTGTTAAGCAGCCATCTCCTGTGGCTTCTCAGGGGTGGGACAGAGGGGTTCTATGTACCAGGGATGCTAACAGAGTGGCAATGGAATGGGAAAGGCTGGGGCATAGGCGAAGGTAAGCAACGGGACAGTGCCAGTAGGGGCCTGAACTACCTGTAGATTCTTGTCTCTTTTGCCTTTTCCAGACGGGGCGCATTGATAAGTCCTACCCTACAGTATGTGGGCATACCGGGCCTGTTTTGGACATTGACTGGTGCCCACACAATGATCACATAATTGCCAGTGGTTCTGAGGACTGCACTATAATGGTGAGAAGGAACTGGGGGAAAGGGTATGTTCATGTGTGCGTAAGTTGGCTTGTTTACAGTCCCATAGAAGTGTGCATAAGATTGGGAGTCTATGAATTTAATGATCAAGTAATAGAAATTTGTATCATGTGTAGGATTCAGCATCCTGATATTTTAATCTGTTTATTTTTAAAGCAAGGTATTTAAAAGCAAGTCTTAAAGACTTTAAAGGCTTGAATATATAAGTAATCTTAAAAAAACACTCCATTGTATGTGTTTGTAACTGAACATGACTTTCAGGGGTGGAATTTCAGAGTTGCACATAGCTGGACAAATGCTTGGATTAAGACAGCAGCCTAAAGGCAGGAGGCCTTCCTCTTGCCAGGAGAGAGCTCTCTGGGGCAGGATGGTGAGAGAGTGAAGGTTTTAACTAAGGCACGGAACTGGAGGATGGCGTGGAGGGGACTCATAGATTGTTCTGTCGTGTTTTATTCCACCCCCCCACCCGCCCCCAGGTATGGCAGATCCCAGAGAACGGGCTGACACTGCCTCTGACAGAACCGGTAGTGGTTCTAGAAGGGCACTCAAAGCGTGTGGGCATCCTCACTTGGCATCCAACAGCCCGCAACGTCCTTCTCAGTGCAGGTACTGTCTATGGTGGGGGAAGCAAGACAGAGGTTTTGGCTGTGTTTCTGTGTGTGGGATGGGGGGGCTATGCAATCTGTGACAGGCCACCAATGACTAACTTGTTGTAATGTTCATGTTTTGTTTCCAGGCTGTGATAACGTGGTTATCGTATGGAACGTGGGTACAACGGAAGAACTTTACCGCCTCGATGACCTGCATCCAGACCTCATCTATAATGTCTGCTGGAATCGTGACGGAAGCCTTTTCTGCTCAGCTTGCAAGGACAAGAGTGTGCGCATCATTGACCCACGCCGTGGGCAGGTTGTTGCGGTATGTTTACCCCTTCTTGGTGCATGTCTGTCTTTCTCATACACAGTTGTCATTATTGATCTAGTATGTGTTCACGTATCCTTTTGGTTACAGTTTCTCCTCAGTGTGTTGGATGTATTTTAGAACTCAGTCTTCCCCATCCTGGTCTGTGAGCAGCTTCTTCCTGCATTTTTTTGCTACCCTGTTCCCGTCTCTAGGTTGGTCATTGGGCCATTGGTCATGCTTGTTACTTGCATCACTTTATGTTGGCGGTTGCCTGGCTGCCTTCTTAGCAGTTCTTAGATAGCCGGCCTGTAAACCTCTATGTATATGGTAGAGTCTACATTTATACCATGCGTTTTTCCTCAGTGGGGACCAAAAGTGGCTCATGGTGTTATTCTCACAACAACCCTGTGATGTAGCTTAGCTTGAGACTGATTGGCTGGCCCCCGGCCACGTGGCTAGCTTCCATGACAGAGTCACGATCCCAGTCTGACACTCAAACCACTACATCACACTGGCTTTGTTGTCACAGGTTGTCTTGTAGGATTGGACTTGAAGTTTAGAGTAAATTAAGAGCATAAGAATTGCCTTGCTGGATTGGATTAGGGATCTGTTTAATCCAACAGTGATCAGCCACATATCTCTGGAAGGTTGCAAGCAAGATATGAAGGTGATAGCCATTCCCTTGTTTTCTCCCTTGCTCCTGGTAACTGGAAGTGGCTTCCATAAGGATACTGAGCTCTAGATCTCCAAGTAAATGTTAGCTGCGATGGAGATGCAGATGGGATGCAAATGCCTTTTGACCTTCTAGTGGCCACTTAGTGATCCGGGGAAGTCAGCACGGTTTTGTCCCCAACAGATCAGGTCAGACCAACCTGGTTTCCTTCTTTGATCGTGTGACGAGCTTACTGGATCATGGGAACTCTGTTGATGTGATGTACCTGGATTTCAGTGAAGCTTTTGATAAGGCTCCCCATGACATTCTGAAGGGAAAACTGGGAGACTGTGGACTGGACATTAGGACAGTTCAGTGGATAGGGAACTGGTTAGAGGACCACACCCAAAGAGTGGTGGTCAGTGGTGTTTCATCAGATTGGAGGGAGGTGTCCAGTGGGGTGCCGCAGAGCTCGGTTTTGGGCCCAGTAATTTTCAATATTTTTATCAGTGATCTGGATGAAGGGGTAGAAGGGCTACTCATTAAATTTGCTGATGATACCAAATTGGGAGGAGCAGCAGACACCCAAGAAGGTAGAGTTAAAATTCAACAAGACCTGAATACTCTGGAGAAGTGGGCAGTTGCGAATGGGATGCAATTCAACAAAGATAAATGCACAGTATTACATCTGGGCTACAAAAATCTCAAGAACAAATACTGGATGGGGGATACGTTTCCGGGGAGTAGTGTATGTGAAAGAGATCTTGGGGTAAGGGTGGATTGTAAACTAAATATGAGCAGTCAGTGTGATGTGGTGGCATAAAAGGCAAATCCAGTCTTGGGTTGTATTAAAAGGGCCATAGCATCGAAATCGCAGGAGGTCATAGCCCCTCCGGTCAGGCCGCACCTGGAGTCCTATGTGCAGTTCTGGAGGCCTCACTTCAAAAAGGATGTGGGCAAAATCGAGAGGGTTCAGATGAGAGTGACGAGGATGATCAGGGGTCTGGAGACTGAGCCCTACGAGGAAAGGCTAAGGGCCCAGGGAATGTTTAGTCTGGAGAAGAGGAGATTTGGGGGGGGGGACATGATCGCTCTCTTTAAATATTTGAAAGGCTGCAATTTGGAGGAGGGCAAGGAGCTGTTCCAGTTGGCAGCAGAGGAGAGGACCCGAAGCAGCGGGTTTAAATTACATGCAGAAAGGGATCGGCTGGATATTAGGAAAAACTTTTTCAGGGCCAGAGTGGTTCAGAGGTGGAATCAGCTGCCTAAGGAGGTGGTGAGCTCCCCTTCACCGGCAGCTTTCCATAAGAGGTGGGAGGAATATTGGTCAGAGATGCTTCAGGCTGCTCCTGCACTGGGCAGCAGGGGGTTGGACTCGAGGGTCTCTATAGCTCCCTCCAGCTCTATGATTCTTTCAAAACTTTGAGTAGGAGATGGGTCTGTTTGTGGAGCCCTTTTCTCTGCAATTGGCAAAGTAGCACTTGGAACCAGTCTCAGTCACTGTTTCCTCTAAGCTGAGTTAGGGTGAGCCAGCTCACAGTTTCTTAGCCTCCGGCTCACACATTTTTGTCTTCGCTCAGGAAGGATGGCTCCAGAGCAAACTAATTTATGCAGCAGCCAGGTCACTTGCTCACAACTATAATGCCAGTAGGTCACAAAGTAGAATTTTTGCTCACAAGACTCCACAGCTTAGAGGGAACATTGGTCTCAGTGTGAATGCTGGAGGTGTAGATGAGGCCTTCTTGGCCTCATGAGAATGCTTTGCTGGGTAGGCCCTGAGAAGTTGGGGAATGAATGTGGAATGTGCTTCATGCAGATACGCATGTGGTGGCTCAAAATTTTGTAACTAACAAAGTCAGATTTTTGAAATTTCATTATGTGCAGAATAAATTATATGACTGTTCAGAATCATTACGTTGATTAACTATCCTCCGGTATATATAATTCTATTTTGGTCATGGACTCCCCTGAACATTCCAACACGCTCCAAAATCAATTCGCTCTCTGATCTATCATTCAGAGGGTCTCCCTATCCACTGGCTGCTTTGCCTGAGTCCTGCCTCCAACATTCTCAACAGTTTGCTGTTCCTCCCCCCCCCAGCCAGTCAGAACACAGAGGTTATTTGCATATGCAGAAGACAGAGGTTATTTGCATATGCATCCTCATTGGCCTCTGCCTCGGAACACAGAGGTCGTTTGCATATGCGACTTGATTGGCTTTTGCCTCTAACATTCTAAACAGTTTTGCTGTTTTGAGGTAAAATGTGTCCAATCTCCAGGTGAGGGCTGGAGATCACTCAGAATTACAACTGCTTTCCAGATGGCAGAGATCAGTTTCCCTGGAGAAAATGTGTCCTTATATCCTGCTGAGATGGCCCCTGTATGACAGCCAATGTGACGTAGCAGCAGGGGTCTTTTCGCCCCGGCAAGCCCCGCCCCC